TACCTCTAAGCCGGATGAGATTTTGGATATATTACTGACGGATAGCCACATCCGAATTCCTAAGGGTCAGTGATTAACAACCAAGAAGAAGATCAAAGGCAGACCTTATTGTAAGTGGCATTATTCATTTACTTATAACATAAATAACTGCACACATTTTCAGAAGGAAATACAAGTGACATTAGAGAGGGCCGAGTCAAATACATCACATTGAGAGTGGAGCAACAACTTTTTTCAAATGTAATAATGCCTGCTATATCTACTCAGTTGGGTAGAAAACTGAAGAACAGGTTCGTGCAATAGGTTGTCTAGAAGGGTCAAGATGAAAAACTCAAGATCCATGAAGCTCAAATAGTACAAAAATAGGACCACTAAGATGGGACTTATGGGGTGGAAGCTAAGAACCGACCCTTGATTCGGGGTAGACCGATGCGAAATCCACACATAACCAATGAGAGATGGAGTCAGAACATAAAGCCAATACCAATAAACATGGACCTTCAGTTCCCAAGTATGAGTCGTATTCAAATTTTTAATGCCAAATGTATATATGCTTCCATGCAAGGTAGGCGACCAAACTTGAAGTGGGCTGCCAATGGGAAAGATCATGTTGTATGAATACAATCCAACTTTGAGTTTTCCATTGATACTGATATAGATCAGAGCTTCGTTCAAAAAGGTCCATGAGAATTTAGAAACACCACGCAAGAAGACCTAATGCCTCCGATATCAATTTTTTTGCCAAATTAGCATAGATGCAACTTTGGAAAATTTTTAGAGAAGCAAGAAGTGTCATTTGGTTCCTTTTGATTGGAAGAAATTGGATCTCTCATGAAGGGTCAGTAACAAAGTCAATATCATTTCCAAGTAAAAATGATAGGAATATATTGTTTTATGTAAGAACCAATTTGGGCTCGTCTTACTGAAAAAGTTTAGAAAAATATGAATGGGCAGCAATAACTTTCCCCGACCTACAGTCGGATGCTCCACCTTTGATGGTGTTCTTTTCCATTCTGGAAGGGGTAGTTCATCATCTCAAGCCTTTTTTACATCAGTTCTCACACTTGTGGCAAACCATTCGACATGGTCCTCATTGACAATAGGACAATCTTCAATGTTGGGCCTTTAAAAACCCTTAAGAAGTTAGCAGGTGAATGTCTGATTTAGCTCTGGTGGATATTGAGATGACTATCTTTACTAGACAACCAACCAAGCCAGAAGAAATGGTAGCACCAATCGAAGTGGGGCTGAAAGCAATATCTACCATTTTCGTTATAGTGGATACAAACACCACTTATTCATTGCTTCTAGGGAAAGATTGGATTCATGCCTTAGAATGTGTATCGTCATCCCTACATTAACAATTAATATTTTTTTAGGGCAACCAGGTCCTCAAGATGGAAGCCAACGCAAACCCTTTTTGGTCATTGGAAGCAATTAAAGAATCTATGCTTTATTTGGGGCATGTTCTGCCAATCTCAGGTCATTGGAAGCAATTAAAGAATCTATGCTTTATTTGGGGCATGTTCTGCCAATCTTATAGATGGTTTAGTTAAATGAGTGCACATGGCAAAGTTGTAAGCTCACCAGTCAGGAGTATATGTTCTTATAAAGGAACATAATTTAAACTTGGTAGCTCATTGAAAACCAATATATCATCATTGTTAGTAATTCCAATGGTTGACACAAGAATCAGTGAATGCAGTATTCTAATTAGTCAGTCTTATTTTAGACAACTATTAAATAGGCTGCAAACTTTGAGATGCACTATCGAGGTTTGCAAGGTGAGAAGGAAAATGTCAGCGGGAAAATATGTTTGAGATTGGAACCATCTTTTTCGCCTCAAGATCCACTAAGAGAGTATAATTTAGGACCAAACAAGACCACAAAAGCTATCTAAGTGGGTGGTTTGTTGTCTCTAAGACAAAAAAAAAAAAAAAAGAATTAGTGGTGTTACTTCGGGAACGTGTGGATTATCTGGCATGGGATTACTGGAGATGCCAGGGTTGGAAAGAAATATTATTGAGTATAGGTTGCCAATTAAGGATGGATTCAAACCCTATAAGCAACCACCTTGACGGGTGAGTCCTGAGTTGATGCCTCAAATCAAAGAAGAAATTGAGAAGTTGCTCCAAGTGGGGTTCATTTGCTCATGCCGTTATGCCGAATGGTTGGCAAACATTGTGCCCATTACCAAAAAAATGGTAAGATCGGAATATGTATTGATTTTAGGTATTTGAACCTAGCAACTTCCAAAGATGAATATGTCATGCCAATGGCCGACATGCTAATTGATTCGGCTGTTGGACATCAAATTCTTAGTCTCACAGATGGATATATTGGGCATAATAAGATATTCCTCAATGAAGAGGATATCCGTAAAACATCCTTCAGATGTCCCAGGGCCTTGGGTATCTATGAATCTACTGTGATGCCATTCAGTTTGACAAATGCTAGAGCAACCTACCAAAGAGTCATGAATGCTATGTTTCATGATCTTATTGGTAATTCTTTTGTGGAGGTTTAAATCAATGATGTGGTAGTTAAATTGGTTGAATTTGAAACTCATTTGGCCGAGTTGGAAGAGGCATTCATTCGAATGAAAAGATATAATATGAAGATGAATCCAATTAAATGTGCTTTTGGTGTTTCAACACGAAACTTTCTTGGATTTTTGGTGCATGAAAGAGGAATTGAGGTTGATGTGAATAAGGCTAAAGCAGTTCTGGCGATCCGACCACCTAAAATTATTAAGAAGGTACAGAGTGTGCTGAGAAAGTTATTTTTTAAGAATATTCATTTCAAATTCCGCAAGAAAGATGAAACCCATTTCAAAATTGCTGAAAACATAAACATCTGAATTCGCTTGGAGACCAAAGCAACATAAATCTTTGGAATCTATAAAGAAAGCGCTTGTGGAACCCCCCGTACTTGTGCCTCATCGAGGAGATTGACCATTCAAAATGTATTTGGCGAATACCCATTATGTTATAAGTTGTCTCTTAGCATGGGATTGGGTAGACGGTAAGAAAAGATCAATTTATTATCTCAAAAAACCCCTTGCTGGGCCCGAATTGTATTATAGCATGCTAGAAAAGATGTGCTGCTCACTAGTATTTGCATGCGCCAAACTAGAATACTACATACTGTTTTGGGAGACAAAGGTCATTTCCAAAATAGATTTAATAAAATTAATTCTGCACAGACCTAATATATAGGGGACATTAATTAAATGGGCTATTAAACTAGCTCTATTTCCATTAACATATATGCCTATTAAGGTTGTGAAGAGACAAACGGTGGCCAATTTTCTGGCTGAGTTTTCGGGGAGCATGCAAGAAGAGTCAGAAAGTTGTCAACTTATGTTGGTATGCAACTATGACACATGTTCTTTGATAGATCCAGTTCTATCTAGAGGTCGGGAGCCGGAGTTCTGTTGTAGGGGGACCTAACTCAGAAAAAATCAGGTTGAAGTTACAACAGGAAGCGATGACTCATAATTTGGCAGAATATGAGGCTTTAATCCTTAGTTTGGAAGCGATGATGAAGAAATGAGTGCACTCAGTTGTTATACAAGGGGATTCGAAATTGATGGTGAATAAGGTGTTAGGTCGGTACTCTTGCAACATACCCCTATTATGCATCATTTGTTTTTTCAAATTTCAAAAGTGGTCATCGAGCATATCCCAAGGTCGGAAAATCGGCATAGTAATAACATGGCTCAAAATGCTTATAAACAGGTATTCAGTAGATCTATCCTTCATATTGAATCAAATTCGAATGAATCTGATGATTGGAGAATAGAAATAAAAGCTTATTTGGAGGAACTGAATTTGGTGTTACGTTTCAGAGTACATCTGAAAGCACTCCAGTTTTAGTTGGTAGAAGGAGTTTTGTATATAAGAACCATCGGCGATGTATTGCTAAGATGCTTAGGTCCTGAGGAGTCAGTAACTTTTATGGAAGAGGTGCATGGTGGTGTATGTCGAGCCCGTTGTGTAGGTTTGAATATGAGGTAGGCCATACACCGAATGAGATTTTACTGGCCAAAGGTTTTTAAGGATTATTCGATTTGCAAGAAGCTTTCATGAGTGCCACAAACACGGCCCATTAAACGACCTACTGACTGTGGAGCTCCAAACGAAAATTAAACCATGGGATTTTAAAGCATGGACAATTGACATAATTGGGAATATCTTTCCTACCTTTTTCCAAACATCATTGTTTTATTCTGGTGACAACCGATTACTTTACTAAATGGGTAAAAGCGATACCATGAAAGAATGTGATGCAAAATGAGGTAACTGAATTTGTGTTAAATCAAATCATGTATCGGTTTGGAATCCCACATAGGCTTGTTCACGACCAAGGCTGATTCTTTACAGGAAAAAAGTTTGTTGGGTACTTGGCTGATTTCAATGTTAAGTTACACCACCAGGCCATCCCTTACGGGACAATATTTTATTGATTAGTAGAAATATGTAAGATAGTTTTAATATTTTATTATTTGTAATTTTATGTATAAATTAATTTTATGTGTAATGATATATTTATAATTTATATAAAGATTAAAAATATTTTAGTATTAATGTGCAATTAGTTATACTATAATAGAAAATAGATTAAGCTATAAACAAGAATTGTAAAAAAATACTTTCAATTGTAATAAAAAAAAATATATTTTTATATATTTATATAATTATTAAAATACCTTTCTAATATAAATATTTAACTTAATAAAATTGAATAAATTTGTTAAAAATATCCGGCCTAGCTCCCTCCCTGTTGCCCCCCCGAACCAAACGTCCTAGCTCCGCCCTATGTTTGAGTACTTGTATCAGGTTTTCCGCATGGCCGTCGATAGGATGTTGTCCAACCATGAAAGGTCGAAAAGAGTTTTCCAATTTTTGCTAAGGACTCGAATGTATGGGGAAGACATTAGTGTGTTGGCAGGGAAAAGAAATGCAGTTGTATCAGGCGGAGGTTGGGTGTGCAATGAGATTATCAGGAGATACATTTTATTTATAGGTTAAGTTTAAATTCCTGGTTCAGTCCTACAGTTAGGATATGTTGTTAGAATGCTTAGATCCTATGAAATAGACTAGGTTTTTTTAAGGAAAAATATGACAAGATCAAAAATAGGAGCTAACTGCAACTTTTTACAAAAAAAACATCAAGTCCAACCCGGATGTTGGACCATTTACACTCAAGTTCAGCAGTTTGGTGGTTATGGAGAGCAACGTGATGCTCATGCACAAGCCACAACCGAATTGAAGCTTGCAATTCACATGTTAGTTGAGTTTGGTTATGTTGGTACTCATCTATTAGTTGCTTCTCTTTGGCAATACAACTGTCCAGGGTGGCCCTATCCCTCCGGAGGCTATCCAACTCTTGTTGTAGGCGATCCAATTCTCTTTTTTTGGCGCTAAAATATTTATCCATAGTTTATTGGGAGTAGAGAAGGCTTCGAGTTGATCATGAGCTTTTCTAAGATCCGCATCAGCCTTGGAAATGGATGTTTCAATCTGGACCGATTGAATTGCAGACGGTTGAGAGGGCCTGGCTAGAGGGATCCAAATTAATGATAACTCGGTTTATACCTCCAGAATCCACTCCATAAGTGGGTGTAGAAGGGGAGTGGCACTTGGTTCGGCAGAGGAATGGACCAACAAATCAAGTACGACCTCAGCCAAGGCGTAAAGGACCTTATTGACCAGGTCGAAGAGAGGAGTTGAGGCACAATTTGTCACCACCTGTTGAGCCTCGGTAGTGATAGGAATATTGGCTGAGGGCGTAAGGTCGGTTTGGCATTGTGAGCATAAAGGATATAAGTAAAGTTCCAACAAGGTATTTTGTGCATACAATAGAAGAAGGAGTTGATACCTGGTCCTGGACGGCTGTGAGGACGGATGGAGCAAGGAGTGGAACCATACGAAGGGGGGGCCATAGAGCACCTATACTTCAACTTCTGACTCTTCATAGGCTACCATGGTAGCGGGTTGGTCCAGAAGGATTGTGTTCCAAATCTTATAAGCAAAATATAGTGAGGTTTGCAGATAAGGGCATAGACAGGGGAAATAGTTTAAACTTACCATTTCATCCCAAGCCTGAATGATCCGTAGAGTTGGAAAAAGAGATGTCCTCTGTGTATAGAAGGCTCCTTCACTAGATTAGGTGTGACCTGGTTAAGCCGGCCGAGCAGCGTCTTCAATGTGTTGGTAAACTATACCAACCTGTTTGTCAACAGCCTCGCCGGATCCAGAACATGCCTAAGGGAAGGTTCTCCAATCAAAGAGAAAAAATAAAAGTTATTTATGAAAGGACAATTTAGGAACATACTGAGGGGGACCCCACTTCGGTGGAAGGATCAACTGTGGGGGTGATTGAAGTCGGGGGAGGAATTTTCCTCATAGTCGGTTCCTCTACCCAACTAGTCATTGAAGACTCTTCATCATATGGTGATGCTGGAAGTTGTTCTGGTGTGTCAGCCTGGGGGATTAAAGTTGGAGCCTCATGATTCAATTGCACGGTGCCTATAATGAATAAGCTTTAGTAAATTTCAAACTGTGCAACAAATGAACAAATGAAATATCAGGAAGGAAACTTATTGATGGAGTCAATGTAGCTTGAACAGTCCCTTGAGAGGGCCGAATGATGTTGGTCAAAGTGGCATGTGCTCTCGGGCAGTAGTGGTTGATGGGATCGGATCGCCTACCAAAAAGCATATTTCCAGATCAGATTGAGTAAAGGCTAGCCTATTTACAGAGTAAGGTTTGACAATCTACCGATGTTAGGTGGAAGATGGCGAAGGATATTAGCCGCCAGCCAGTGGGTCTCTAGGGGTAAAGAGAACCAATAGTCTTTGACCGCTTGTTGATCTACAATGTTCATAGGGGCAATCGCCGGTTGGACTGTCGATCTTTTCTTTGTTTTCTTTGCAAGGGAGCTCGGGCTAGCTTCGGTCGCGGTCATCCGCTTGCAATGAGCTATCGGCGGTAAGGTACGAGGCGTTTGAGGTCTTAAGGTTATGACGGTCATAGGAAAGAGTACGCCCATCAATTCCTCAAATAGTCAGCCAACCAGTGCCCATGTGATTGACCAGCATTCGGAAAACGAGTCGACGGTTCTTGCAGAGGATTTAAACGGAATATAATAATTGGAAGTAATATATTGAGAGAATTGGGTAAGATGTGGTTGGCTTACGAAAGGCTCTACATTACCATCAGTGCTTTGGGTGATGATGTAAGGTATGCCAAGAAGACCGAGTAAACCTTGGCAACAACCAAATTGGTGTGCCAAGAATTGAGGTTGGTAATACAAAGTGAAATAAGATTTTCAGACTTTCTTATCAAGTCTCTTACTAAGGAAATAGACCTGGGTTTCAGGGCCGAGTCCGAGGAGAAGAAGCAGGTCAGATGAGGTAGAGAATCTGGATGAGGAATTGGTTGGTCTATATTTGGATAAGGCCGAAAAGGGTTAATGACATATTGTTAATACTTTTGGAGGGTATGATATTGAGAGTCAGTTTGGTAAGAGGAAAAAATCTTGCAAATGGTTTCTCTTATGGGTTTTAGGTCAATTTTATTGAGGCCTAATCGGGACCAAGAAAGACCTAAGGAGGGGCCAATATTAGAAATGAGGGGCAGTCAACCCTAGAAGATGGTAGGAAAGTAAAAATGGAACCATAACTCAAGAAACCAAAAGGCACCCGAACATGCAGTGTCTAATTTTTTAGTATCAAGTAAACGGGTGCTGACTCGAGAGAGGCCTTCCAAAAGGTTTTGCTAAGAAAAAGGGTCCCAATTGAAAAAAAAAATGACTAAAAGCCAAGTGTATGACCAAGTCTAGATGAGTAGGAAGGACAAATTTGGAAGGAGAGAGAATTACGTACCGATAGAGCTAGAATAAGAGAACGACAATATGTTCATTGTCGGTCATAGGGGTTCTACCCTAGCCTCAATATAAGGTGACAAAATTGATCCAACCTTTATCTTGGATGTCGGTTAGAGCCCAGCCCGCATGGTCGGAATGGGGCTCCTGATCATCAAGGGTTCCGACCACTGGATCTTTGCCCACGATCGGGAGGTGGGTGGTCACGGCTAAATCCATCAAGGTTGGACCAATGAGACCCGTGGACTACAGAAAATGCACTAACCTTATGATCCAAGACTTTCGCCATAGCCAGAAAGATTTTCTCATGAAGGTTGAAAATATGGGTATAAAGAAAAATGGCTTTGTCGATTTTTTGTCACTGCCATTGTTCTTGAAAGTGTAGAGCCAATCTTAAGCGCCAAGTGTGGAAAACATCCTTTGGATTGGTAAGATGAGTCTTGATACCATCATTAATATGCGCAAGATTGAAGGAAGATAATTGATCGCCATGCTCTAATATTACCCACATTCGTGTTGCATCCTCAGTGGCCGTGCAATAAGGGCGAAGGGTTGGGGTAACTACTTTAAAAAAAAAAAATGGTATTTGGATGGGAACCATCAAATGAAAAGGTAGGAACACATTGATTGACCATTGAAGGAAGTTGGTTTTCCTCAGATCGAAGGAAAGATGGAAAAAGAGAGACAAATGAATATCACCATTAAGCAAGGGGAATTGAATATCACATAAACAAAGAGGTGAAGAAAGTGTTTAAACCCTTATGATTAGGTTTTTATAAACCCTTTGATGTGCCTAGAATGTCAACGTCCGGTACGGTCTGCGAGGCATATACGTGGTTTGGGGGGTGGGGGGCCCAGTTGAGGGGTGTGCCCCCACTAGAGTGGGCCCCATATTGTTTGTTATATTGTATTTTTTTGTTTAAATTCGCTAAATTCTTAACAAATTAATATTGTAGTTTTGATTGAGTATGTAAAGACAAATTTTTTTATCAACAATTTTTCTCAATTTAATAAGTATGAATGTATTTATTAAAATTACATATGAAAATGAGCCAAGTTTGGTGAGTTGTAAGTATTTGAAAAAGGCAGAAACGGAGAAATATATTGTAATATGATTATCAAAATATATTAATGTAATGATTCCGAGAAAGCATTTCGACCAAATTTGTTCTATGAAGCGGCGCTGGTGGCGGTGGAAACGTAGCTGGAGCATGGAAGACTGTGCTGTGAATTAATAGAGGAGATGGATCTCGCTCTAACAATCATACAAAAACGGAATGGCCCGATGAAGGGCATCTACAGATGAGTGCATTACAAAGAAAAGCAATTTTCTCTCTAGAGGATTCTAAGTTAGGAAGTTAAGAAAGTAATTAAGACAAAAGCCATTCCTGGAGCTGAATAAAATGGGTCGTTGCAAGTTCATTTCTTTGCTGCCAATTTCGTTTAACTTTGATGAGGTCTTTGTGTTTCTTTACCTTTCTTTTTGGGGAACGCTTGAGTGTCCTGGTCTGGTATTAATGGCCACAAATTCTTACGGACTCCGCCTATTATAGAGAAGTGAAATATAATACGTATAAAAAGATAGATTCTATAGTCGGTGTTGTAGTTTAGGAGGATGGAAGAACCTGAATTTTCTGCTGGAAATGCTATTGTTGAGGTTGTAATTTGTGACAATGATGGAGTGAGGCTTGAAGATTGGGCACTGTTTGTGGTGGATGTATTATGTGAATCCTTAGTGAGATTCTCTATATCTGTGTGTGAGAAGTCTGAGTAGTAATTGATTTCAAAATATGATTTGGTAGATGACATATGTTTAACTATTTCTATGTTGTAACCTGATTTCCACGGTTCCATGGTGCTGATAGTGTAGCTGTCTGTGCTGAGTCTATTGGATATAAATGTTTTTTTCTTAATTGTGAACATGAAGTTGCTACTCCTAACTTCGTTGTTTCGCTTTTCAAAAAGTGTTGCCATGTCCTATATAAAACATTAGTCTCAGAGATTTTGTTTGAAAATAGTTGAAGTTAAATTTGTTTTATAACCTTTTTTGTTTTTCCTTTCACAGTGTCCAAGTCGCAGCCTAAAAGACAATTTTCTCGTACGCAACATATTTTATGGAAGCTGTGTCGTCTGTAATGGTTGCTGTTAATATGTATCTGACAGGCAAAAAGTAGATGTGTTTGGCTATATTTTATAAGTAGAAGGTTTATAAAGCATGTGGGTACCTTTCTTTCCTTGTTTAGACGCATGAGCACTTAATGTAGTAGAATGTTCGTGCTGGAGGTGTTTTTGTTGACGTATGGCATTTTCTGCAGCCAGTGTATGAAAATTTCATGTTTGTTGTCAGTAAGATTTGAAATGAACCTCGTGTCTTATGATCGACCAACTGTATGTGTAATTACTACAATGTATTAAGTTGACAATAGTATCAGATATAATTTGGTTCGAAATAGGTTGGTAAAAGAACCTGTGATTGACGTATTTATGGGACTGTAATAAAAGCCAACGCCTGTGTGCAATGTTGTTGAGCAGGTGTTCCAGAGTGTTTCATTTGAACGAGCTCATCGAGATAAGTTTTCTCATCCTGTTTCATGTGGGTAACTTGTGAATGTAAATTTACTACATCCAATTTTTTAAAGGGTAGTAATTTTTGGTATTTTTTACCATTGCTGAAGTGTCATATTCTCGGGGTACGGAGGATTGAATAGAATGTTAGCCATCGACATGGCTGACAACGAGATTCCTAAATTGAAACACACATAAATTTGTAGTCGTTCATACCTAAAAAAAAAAGGTTTGAAGGTACTGAACTTTTGGCTTCTTCTCCTATGCTTTATATATAATTTTGAGAAACTCGACTAATAATCAGTAATAATTTTACGCTAAAATAGGTTAGAAATATAGGTGTTATATGATTTATTTATATTCATTAGAATTTTTTTTTTTTAATTTATTTGAAAACTTGAAGCCTTTACATAAATTCTGATAGTGGTCTACCTTTGAAAGATGACGCTTTGATATTTAGTGCAGCAATTATTGGTCTTTCTGGAAGAAGTGAGAGGATTTATGATCCTTCTGCTTCGACGAGATCATTCCAGATCGTCAATTGAGTTGGTATTTTCCTGAAGACAACAAGATTGTGGTTATTTTAGCATTAATTAAAGAAGTGCAAAAAATGTTGTTCTATGAAATATTGCAAATACTGCTCTGTAATGATTTTGATTTCTTGTAGTTTATCTGTTCCTCTTGTCCTTATGGGGCCAACTTCGATTGCTATACCTATGACGTCTTTGTAACGTAAAATTTGTGTTTAGTGTTAGCAAAATTTTGAACGCCATTAAATGATTGGTAGGTAAAGTTTGCAGTGGTATAATTTTTAAACGAGATAAAATTAAGAATGATTATATTTTCAATCGTTGAATATTTAATAAATTACTGAGGAAAGCTTTTGATTCGAGAAAAGGCAGTAAGCTTGATAGCTTAACGAAAATCGGCTTCCCAAGAAGAATATTGAACGGTTGATCAATAACAGGGCTTATGCTTGACTTTTGATTGAGGATGATCTGAACTTTTGAGTTGTATCTGGGCAAGGTTGTGCTGAAAGGCTTGAGATAATTTCCGTAGATGTCATACGTGCGAAATAAGGTTAGGCATTGATACAACTTCGCGATATCTAGTTCAAATGCGCAAGCCTAGACTTTCGTTTCTTGCATTTACAAATAGAATATGTTATTTTGGATATGTTGTAGATTTTGAAAGAGAAGTTGCATTTTTATTTTTTCAAATTTTTTTGGTTGTTATGACGTTGGAACCCACAGCCACTCCGCCCAAGTAGAAATATTTTTTTATTTCTTTAACAAAGGCATTTTTGTATAGCAAAGGATTTGTACTAATGAAAAAGATACTGACTTTGAAGACATAATAAATGAAACCTTTGCATCCCCAAATATGAATCTTTTGTAAGCTGTATTTGTGCGTGGGGAAACTCTTTCATTTGAACATTCCAGTTGCATGACCCGAATCGCCCATTCAGAAACTTCTGTGAAAAGATCACCAACCAATGTAAGCTGTGTTTGTTCGTCCATTTGTTAATGGAGTTATAGTAATGAAAGGTGTATTGAGAGAAAAGTAAGTGAGGTATATATTTCCACAGGTATTTGTTGAAAGAAATATAATTATGGAAAAAGAGTGCATTGTGAAAAGAATGGGAACTTGTTTGTTTATATTAAAGTTTTTTTTGATTGTTTAGTACCTATGTTTCATAGTTTCTTTGTTATTTTATTTAATACTTCTTGCTAACATCTTCACTTGAAATTTAATAACAAGTCCCCCTCCTTCAATTCCCTGTTTGGGTCAATTGAGGTGATAGGTAACATCTTAATATTATCGATCAGTATGCGT